GCCTATTAATCTTACATTGTTCTTCTTTACATCATTATGCAGATGTTGAATTATTTTTTTCCTGCATCCTGGTATTTTTTTTTCCATAATTTTATTGAGAAACAAATAGCAATCTGACAGCTTCAAATCAAAATTGGTAGGACAGTTTTAATAATTAACACATTGCATACTGTCGTCCTAGAGGTTATTTGTTGTACAAGATGCTGACGTGATACCCTATTTGCAAACACTATTAGAACAAATCCCTCTGTTCATTGAATTAAGAGATTGTAGCTGTATATCTATCCTAACCATTTTGAATACAAAGATACAAAATGGACGTTCATCTGTATACCCTTGGGCTTGATGTCTGAGATTGTGTTTTGCTCCTTCTCATTGTCATTTTGTATAGCACTGTCTTCTGACCTTTGTTGTAGAGCTTTGGTGCAGTTATAACCTTAGCACCTACTGAAATACCGGTGCAGATCTCCAAAGTTTGAATTTGTCCATTTGTGCCTGGTTTGGATCTGGCTGCTGTGCTCAGCTCCTTCCTGCTACCGCCCTTGGGAGTGAACCTGTTGTTCCCTCTGGCAAGATGTTCTGCCTCTAGACTGTTTGTGTAGTTCAGTCCCCTACACTCTCTGCAGGGACTGCAGGTGGAGAGTTTCACCCCAAGCTTGTATGCCAGGTCTGAGCTGAGTCTGAAGGGGACAACGGGTAATAGGGGAGAGAGGAAACTGTCCCACACACCGGGCCTGGGCTGGGCCTGTATCTGGGGGTCCTGAGAATGCGGCAGAAGTTCTCACTCACTGGGCGGGCATGGGTGGGGGTTGTGCAGTGGTGGTGGGTGTCCCAAGGGCTTGGAAGAGGGTCTCACTCATGCTGCGCCTGAGTTTGGACCGAATAGGTCCCGCCCGCACAAGATAGCCAGGAGTTCTCGCACATACTCACCGGGCCTGAGCTAGGGATGGATCTAAGAGTCCTGAGAACCAGGCAGAAGTTCTCACTCACTGGGCTGGTGGGGGGGAGCTGCGCAGTGGTGGTTTGTGGTCCAAAGGGCTCAGAAGAGGGTCTCACCCTTGCTATGTCTGCGCTTGGACCAGACAGGTCCTGAGGGCTCAGGGTAGCCAGAAGCTCTCTCACATACTCACCGGGCCTAGGCTAGGGCTGGAACTCCCTAGTTGGTTTTTTTTGTTTTTGTTTTAATTTTTTAAAAACACAAATGTGCGTGGACACATTTTTGTTTTATTTATTTATTTATTTATTTATTTATTTATTTATTTATTTTGGTGGAACCAAGGATTGAACTCAGGCCCTTGCACTTGCCAGGGAAGCACTTATTCCACTGAGTCATCTCCCCGACCCCTCCCTAGTTGTTTTTAAGAGATCTTTTCTTACCTTTTCACTAGCTTCATTGGTGTCTTCAAGGTGTGAAAGTCTATTTTCACTTTTATTCAAATGGTTTTGCCAGCTTGTGATTGAAGTTTTAATTTCCTGCATAGCACTTTGAATCTGCTTCATGCATTCTATTTCTTTCATATATTTCTCATTCAAGGATTACATCATTTTTCTATTCTCCTCTATATTTTTATCAGTGTCTTCATTAGAAGCACTTAGTACTTCTTTCGTTATAGTTATCATTTCGTTTTTTTACTGCAGAAATTATTTCTTTTTTTTTTTTATTTGAGAGAGAGAGAGAGAGAGAGAGAGAGAGAGAGAGAGAGTGTGTGTGTGGGGGCGGCCCTCGCTGGCATGTGGTGCTGGGGGATTGAACCGCGGTCCCTGATGCTTTGCTAAGCTTGTTCTAAGTAGGTGCTTTAGACCACTGAGCCATCTCTCCAGCCCTGCAGAAATTATTTCTGATCTGATTTCCTCTTTATCTTTCTGCAGTTGTTTCTTTACTTCAGCTGCTATTATTTCAGAGATTTTAGGTTTGGGATTTCTAATTTCTTCTATGCTATTATCTCCTGCATTTGTTCTAGATGGGTTCAGGGCCTGAGAGTGCATTTTGCGCCTTCTCTTTGTCATTTTGTATAGTGCTATCTTTTGACCTTAAGTGTAGAGCTTAGATGTAGTTATTACCTTAACAGATCAGGATCTACCAAGTTCAAACTCGTCCAGGTGGGTGTGGCTTGGGTCTGGCTGTTGTACTCCACTTCTTCCTGCTGCAGCCCTTTGGAGATAAACCCTCTGTGCCACTCTGGCATGATTTTCTGCTCCTGGATCAGTTGGGTGTGTCTTGCTTTTAGCCTCTCTTCAGGGAGTTCTGCTGCAGGGTTCCACATCAGGCCTGTCTGATCCAGGAAGTTCTATTCTCACAGGGGCCTGGACTCTAGGTAGAATGAGGTTCCAGTGGCCCAGGGTGGTCTCACTCACATGCTGGGCCCGGGTCTACTGAGGATCTGTTGGGCTCCAGTCAGTCCTATTCACACTCCGGGTCTGGGCTGTGGGTCGAATGAGGATCCAGAGGACCCTGGGCGGTCTTACTCGCACACTGGGCTGGTCAAATGAGGACGTGGTGGGCCCCAGGGAGTCCCGCTCACAGGCCAGGCCTGGGCTGTGGTTCAAATGAGGATCCAGTGGGCCCTGGGCAGTCTCATTCACATGCTGGGTCTGGGCTCTTGGTCAAATGAGGACCCTGCAAACTTGGGCGGTCTCCTGCATGGACTCTTAAGTCTTTGTGAAAGTGGTCATTCATGTTTTATATTACTTTTTTAGCTTATCTAGTGTTTTTATTAGTGTCTTTGGTAAAGTTACTGATCATTATGTAAATTATCTATTTAGTTGTATCTTTTTTGAGCTTTCTAAGCACCTAATTGGCCTGATTTTTTATCTCCTCTCATCTTTTCAAATAATTTGTGGTTTTTTATTTGCTCCTCTTTAATACTCCATCTATCAGCTTTGGGGCAGGTGGGAGTATTTGGAAATATTTTGTTGTCTTGTTTTCTCATTTTTCTATTGTTTTGTTTTGTTCGTTGTACTGATGCCTTTAGGGACTTTAGTCTGTTTAGTTAGTGTGTGCTTTTCAGTCATGTACTCAGGGCATGGGTAAATATAGGCCTTTGTCTCTGTCCCAAGTTTTGACCACCTTGACTAATTTGTGAGGGAAAGATACAAAGTAATTAATCCAGAACCCAAATTTTTTGGAAGGGACTTCAGTATTGTTAATGACACAAAGGCAATTTGGGTATTGACAAAAAACCAAAATCTATGAATAGCAACAAATATGTCATCCTGGCAGTAGCAATTAAATCATTAAGAATAGTGGCAGCAAAGGACAAACTAGGTATTGGCATATGATAAAAACCAATAACATATCACTCTTAATCATTGAAAAATAGATCTATAATTATTGTCTTGTATAAATACTATGTCAGCCAAATATTTACATAAATATTACTAAATGTAACAGCTATTACTTCACTAAGAACAAAATATTTAAACAATAATAACATTTAGAAAACTATCTAAAGATTAATAAGTCTTAATGCTTATATGAGTAAAGATATAATGGAGAATGGGAGAGTGAAAGGACAAAACTTTGCAAAATGAAGCAGTGGAAGATGATGAGAGTAAAGTTAGGATAAAAGATAGTAGTATTAAGGTGTAATATGAAACTAATAGGATTAGATAAAGTTAGCAGAAAAGAAGAACAAGAAAAGGTAAAGAAGAAGAAAACATGAATTTTCAAAAAGAAAATTAGAAGGAAAAAGGAAGGAAAGAATAAAGAAAAAAAAATCCCAACCCAAAACATGCAGTGAAACAGAGAAAGGGGAAAAAATGAGTTCTCCCAATTTGTTTTATTATACTTTTAGGTGAAGCATTTCTAGGCTCTTAAGATTTGAAGTCCATCAAGTTATGTTTTTCTCTGCCTTTGCATATGTGCAGTGATCCCAATTCAGAAGCCCCTCCGTCTGTTCTCCCTACGCTGCTTGGCAAGTATCCAAATCTGTGCACATTCTTGGTCATACTGGGACGTGGGGAAGAAATCAGAACTTCATCTGTGCTAGATGTAAGCAGCAGAGCAAGAGTTCAAGCAAACCAGTTTACTGAATGCCAACACTTTCAAACCCAGCTGTTCTTGAAAGCTGCATTCACCACCCTGGCTTCTCACCACAGAGGAAAGGGCCCTGTGTCCTTCTTGACCTTATTTTAAATATTTCACGAGGTTTATGTGAAGCCTACACCTTCTTCACAACTGTCATCTGTGGCTTCCTCTCATCCAGTCACCTTGAGAGGGTAATACTGAACTCTGAAGTGAACTTGCTTTTTTGTTGTTCTGTGGCTCAGTCTTATATAATTAAGTCCTTTCTTAAATCACCCCTGACTAAACACTCACAGTGACAGTCACTATGCTGGATTCCTTCTGTAACTGTTATTTTCCTTGTAGAAGGAGTCGATTTTGAAGTAAAACCCCACACTGCCTATAATTTACAATAGCCATGGACTTACTAGTGCTAACTCAAGTGGCCTGATCCATTATTTCTCCATGGAGCTCCAGAAGCTCTCCTCCCTGGGAGCCAGGTTAAGCCTCCAAACTGTATTTTGTTTGTTTGTTTGTTTGTTTGTTTTTTCTCTGTAGTATGGCCCATTTCTCTAATTTCTCTGTCATTTCTAACTTTCCCCTTCATTCCTTCCTATTCCTGGAGATCTACTTCCTTTTTGTCTTGCCAAGTTATTTTCAAGATATCTGCTGTCTGGGTCACAGAAAGGCTGTATTTTACTATCGATCACTACTTGAACATTTTGGTTCATACAGAAATAAAGCAAAATTTAGACCCATATACTTATTATTTTCTATCTTGTATTTAGTATAAAATCTGTGCTTTAGTTATGGCTTGTTATTGAAATGTTACCTTTGTTTATTGAATATTAACATTTAAAAGGCCTGAAATAAATCAATGTGGATATTTGGAAAAAAATTTTAAAGCCAAATTTATTTTAAAATTCATTTGTACATCAATATCTTAAATAAATTGTAAGCATACATTAATTTTCTTTTCTTTCTCTTTCCTTTTTAGTGAGTGATAGCTGCTTCAGAAATCTTGCAGAAGACCGTAGTGGGATAAATCTCAAAGATCTTGTACAAGATCCTTCTCTGTGAGTATTTGGTTTTCAATACTAAATATAATTAAAAACTTTATTGTTGGTGTTACATTTTCAAAAAGGCTATACCTGATAACTAATTTATTGTTAAACGGTTTCTAAATTTTTAGTAATCTATGTTAAATATGGTGAAATTTGATTAAGTATTTTCTTTCCAGAAATAGATTTTTAGAAGAGATGATAACATTATTAAAGTTTGATTAATATTATTAAAGCAGCAAGGCTGGTGGCTAAATGACATCTGCCAATGCTATTGTATAGAGCAGTGAGGGCATGCTTGGGGAAGTAAGATCAACTTCATTGGGTATATTATGTTATATTTTTTGTTATACATAATTTTAACTATAATTAGAAATATAAAATAATTATAACAATATGTAATTTAATATATTGCACATCTTAATATTCCACATGAAGATGTATCCTTCTTGGCCTTATTTTAAATATTTCACGAGGTGAAAACTGTATAGTTCCATATGTGTACCTATTAAATACATATTGATAACATCTATTTGAAGAATTTTAGTACCCTTTTAAATATGGGAGGAAGTGATAATTTCTTTCAAAGATTTCACTCCCATGGATGAATAAAATAAAGTTTCTCATTACAGTATATTTGTAGGGTATATTTTACTCTACTATTATTATATATC